CCAAATTGGTAAATGAGTTAGTACTATTTTGTCCAAGAGTCGAGCTATCCAATAATTTATGAAGGCCATGATGCTGCTAAGAAGTCCAGGTAAATCCCCAGCATTGTATCATCAGAGTTGATACGGTCCCATCTAGGGAATCCTCAAAGCTATTCAGCAGCAGGAGTTTATACTGCTGTTGATGCTGCCCAAGGAAATGAAGACTGAAGAAAGATGGGCCTGGTGATTTGTCCCATCATAGGATGACTAGGAGGAGATGGCAGATGTGTTCACATCTTTGATGGGATCATTAAATCCCTAATCTCAAGAAGATCTTTCTGATGCTAGGTGCATTTCATGGGATGCCCAAGTCCTTGAAGATAAAGGTAGAGCAGATTCTAGCAATACTAAATATTTGTGACAAAGAACAGGATGAAAGTGTTACTACAGATGAGCCGGCATCTCGTATAATGGTTCCTGCAGTCAATGAGGGAGCCTCAATCTCGAGCGCTGGATCTGCTGGAAACTTGTGAAGGACATACACCACTGTAATATCTGAGGCACCACTGGCATAGTAACTATGAAAGACCTCCAAGATGGAGCCAAGGGAAGAACTCCCTTCCAAACCACCTAAGATGATCACAAACTGTTCAACGTTAGATGAGATTTCAGTGCTCAAGCACAATTGCTAAGATGATGGCAGCCAAATGGATTGAGGCCTGGGCTTTCTACAACTGGGAAGAAGATCAGCTAAGAGAAAGGATCACTCCTCCATAGAGATACAAGGAGGATGCCCAGCACCTATAAGACAGCTTATCTAAAGCCTAGCAGAACCTGATGAGGGTCCTAGAAATTAAAAAACAATGGTGACACTGGAACTCTGCTGGTGGGGTTAAGAAGACAAGAATGAAGCTACAACCATTTACTGGGGTGAAAGTATATTTTGTATAGATATATATTATTGTAATACATTTTTGTACTGTGAATAATTTAATTTAGATTGTCCTCTGCTTCCACATAACTAGTGTATGTGAAAGAAAAGAACCTAATAGCATGTATGTAAGCATGCAAGTTTACTTGTTGAATTCAGATGTGCGTTTTTGAGCTAAGCTCTAATAGCAAATCATCAAGTGAAGGCATATTGTAAAAGTATTGTGTTGTATTTTTATGGAAATTAATCCTGACAGAAATAATGGAAGCTCTGGAGCTAAACACACTCCAGTACAATCAACTTTCATTCCATCTGAAAAAGTATGATCACTGTTCTTTCTGTTTATTTGTTACGATAAAGAGTTTCTTCACTTACTTATATTCATCCAGTCTCATTATTTCACACTTAAAGAAATTCGGTCAAGTCATGAAACACAGAATACTTCTCTTACTTCTTGATCAAATCTTCTGCTATTAGTGGTATTGCCTATTTGATACTTGTTGATAAATCAGTTTTACTTGAAAGTATCACACTATCGCACCTATTGCCCTGGATCATTCACTTGTGGTATCAGGTGTGTTTTCTCGCGGTAAATAGTTCTGTAAGTTGAACTAACTATCTCAAAATGGACAGTATTTTTTTCCAGTGGCAAGTCAAGTGATAGCCTAAGGATGTAAACTTCATCAATTTTAGAATGAATGACCAACAGTCACGTGTGTAGCACAACGTCCTGAAGAGAATAGCATTATTAATTTGTGTATGTAATGTTATTCTCTCTTGTTATGGAACAGTACGATCAAGTGGCCTTGAAAGGAACAAGCATTGGTGGCTACTGTCAACATGGGAGCTTTAACCTTCACAGTGGTTAATCCACCACCATCCAAGTGGTTGTATGATCAGCCTCAGCACCAGACAAAACTGGAGCTTTCATAAACCTCACTGAGGGCTATCTCTCAGTGACTCAAGCTTCAATAAGTACCAATTCTGAAGAGACATTGTCACTCCCAAGCCACTAAACTGATGTAAGCTTGGGCATTAT